CATGAAGATTTGACGACGCTATGGCAGTTTGACTGGCGGGAGGTACAGGAGCCACTAAAGTCTTAGGAGTACAAACTTACCAAGAAGAGTTCGAGATGGAGATGATTCCCAGCCTCTACATACCCCAGAAACCGAGGTCCAGGTTGGTGGTACACCACCACAGAGTCCCCAACCATGAAGATTCTCGAAACAAACCCTTCAAGGGGCTACACCAAGTGAAATGTAATACTACACGAAGTAGCGTTACTATTTTCACTATTTAATATTTATCCGTGTCCCTTGGGCTTGAAATCTTGAGCTCTTGGTCTTGGTTCTGCAAGATCAATTCTTCTTGAGTTGATGGGGGCTTGCTACACACACCTGCCACGCAATGGACACTTCACACTCGACAAAATGGAAAAAACACATGCGACACGCAAACGACGACTTGACATGCAAGTTGTAAAAACTCGCTAATGTCTTGACCGACACAAACCACATTGTGATACACCATTCAAACACACACACAAGCACTAGATAGCAATGACATAGACTCATAATTCATTCCACGCCATGCATGCGCACACACAAACAAGGACGACAAGCCGAGTGCAAGCCATGGGGTTGCACCAACAGTAACACTGTAAATACTGCGTGTCGTTGCAAAGAGACTTGTTGCCAAGTGATTGTAGTAGGACGATGTCACTATGCTCATTGGTGGAGCATCAATCCATGGTCATGGTCAGGGCTTATGCTACGTTCTGGCGCGCTCGGACGAAAAGGGCGGCCCTCAGCAGTTACCCTTCAAATAACGGCTTAGAAAAAATTGCCCCTTAGAAAAAAGAGTTTGCACGAAAACCACTCGTAGGACTCGAACAAGACTACCTTGGGATACATTAATTGCATGACCACTAGGCTCGGTCGGCTCAGCCAGAACAGGAGCAGAGAGCTTGTGATCTATTGGCAGAGGGGTGGGCTATTCTGATGAGAACTGAAGGCCGAACCACTGGAAGATTTGCTGCACCGTGTGGAACAGGGTGAGAGTAATCGTGTGCACGACACGGTTATGAGAGATCTCTAAGCCCAGCTAGCACCGCAGCTCCCCTAGGTCTGTGCAGACATGTCACCTGAGTAGTTCGGCTTTCACTGAGGCTAGTGCAACTCTGTCCAGAGTAGCAAAGGTGAGGTCGTCTACATACACAAGTATGTAGAATAGATTCTGACCGATACGAACAAAGAGCAAGGGGTCAGCAGAGGACAAAAAGAACAGAAGAGCATCGAGTGTAGTGTGGAACGTGTCGTGCCACTCATGGGGCGCCTGGCGCATACCCTAAACAGGGCGGCGCAGGCTCCATTGGGTTCCAGTTGGGAAGGACCCGGGGAAGCCAGGTGGGCGCCGCAGGTAGATCTACTTGTGAAGGCTGCCCTGCAACAAGGATGTGGAGAAGTCCAAGGAGTGGAGCTCGTAGTCACGTTGTGCAGCTACGTGGAGGAACACCCGAACAGTAGTCTTCTTTGGTTAGGGGAGAAGGTCTGGAAGAAGTCTGACCCGCTGACTGAAAGCTCTAGCCCCGTAGCGCACCTTGAACACATGCGACACTCCAGGCGGGCGCTTCACCTTATATATCCACATGCCATCGATTACGTTTTCTACAGGCGGAGGAAATGCATCGACGTAAATGCTAGTGGATCTATATGATGCCATCTCTGCCTCCATGGCCTGTATCTACTGGGCTGCCCAGGCACCCCTGACCGCCTCGTCATACGAGCATGGGATAGGAATGTCAAGGGCGTCCAGGTCACCCTCAGGGGGACACAAGCATGGCGCAGAGATGAGGTACAGCAGCTGCGAGCATAGAGGGGCGACGAGCCCAGTGGGGAAGGACGGGGGACTAGGGACCGGGGGGAATGGGGGACAGGACACGGGGCGGATGAGAGCAAGGGGGGAATTGAGTTGGAGAGGAGTCCGTAGGGGGGGGGGGAGTGGGCCGTAGATGGGGTCGGGCACAAAACAAGGGACGGGCGGCCGGTCAGGGTAACCGGGGGAAAGGCCAAGGAGATGAAGGGCAAACTAAAACTGCTGCTGCTATGGCTGTTGCTGCTCCCGACCCATGCCAGAACCCCCAGCTCCACCACCGCCAATACTCTCCGAGCCAGCACCCCCAGGAATAGCACCTCCAGAACCAGCGCCCTCGGGACTAGGACCCTCAGGACTAGCACCTCCAGATTCAGCACCCCTAGAGCTAGCACCTCCAGAACCAGCACCCCCAGAACCAACACCCCCAGAGGCCACAGCCTCCCGCCGTTACTGCTGCTGCGGCTGCTGCTGCAGCGGCAGCGGGGGAGGCTGCTGAGATTGCGGGGGCACCAAGGCTGGGGGGTGGGGGCGCGCAACTGTGGCAGGCGCACCCCCAAGCCACGTGGCCTCCAGAGTAAGCAGTCTCCCCCACAAACCCAACCGAGGGGATGGGAGTGGCATGGAAGACACCAGACAGGGTCGCGCGGGGTGGGAGGGGAGCGATAGGTGGAGGGGGGGCAAGGAAGAGAGGTGGAGAAGGAACACGTGTGCCACGGTAAGGAAATCGAGCGTAGAAGGAGACAGACTCGTCAAAAGTAACTTCACAAGAGTAAAAAAAGCGGTGCTATCAAGAGTCGTAGAATAGCCAGTTCGTAGCGTCAAGCGGGAAACCAAGGGAGACATTGGCAGAAGTGTAGGCTGAGAGGCTGTCCGCGTGGGGGGCGCGGATGTGAGCTAGACAGCCCCAGACGTGGAACGCCGAAGCGTCATCGGGAGACCCATTCCAAATGAGGGTCGGCGAAACCTATGGGTGTGAGGGGCGAGACTACATGTTAAGCTAGAGAGCCACGTAGCGCACCGCGATCGTCAACAGAAAATGCGGTGAACTGGCATGGACCATGGAGGTGCGGGTCACATCCATGACCAAACCAATGCGACGCTCAGCTATGCCATTCTGCTGCGGTGAGTCCGGAAGAGTGAACGACTAGGTGATGCCCTCTGCATGATAGAACCGACCTTGGCGACCAGATGCGAACTCGCCATCACGGTCGGAGTGAAGACAGAGCACAAGCACGAAGCGCTGGGTGCGGAGTGAAGACAGAGCACAAGCATGAAGCACGTAGCAATGGAAGTAGGGCGTCAGGCACACCGACCTTCCGCTCTAAGAGGAAAACCATGGTGAACTGGGTGAAGTCGTCGACTTCGACCAATAAGGAGCGCTCCCTGTGGGGCCTCTGAACGTGGGCGGGCCCCCAAAAAAACCATGTGCATCATTGTTGGGGAGCAGTAGTTGGAGGAAACGAGGAGGAGTGGGGGGGGGGGTACGCTGCCGGCCCTCGACACAGGAGGTGCACACGGGCGCGAGGGAGGTGGGGAAATCGGGGAGCGATGCGGGGATAGCATGTGATGCTGACGGAGGAGTGTAGGGTGACCAAAGTAGTGGTGCCACAGGAGTGCTGGGTGGGTGAGGGAGCGACAGGAGCAGGACCCGGAAATCTGGAAAGACGTGGCTACCTCGGAGGGCTTTGTGTGCAATGTGAACAGGCCGGACACAGGGTCGCGGTCAAAGGTGGCAAGATGGACACCTATAGCGGCGTCCGTACAAGCTGCATATTTCTTACGACTAGGGAACGTGGTGGTGACACTGAGATCCTGGATATGGCCGACACCAACCAAGTTCCTAGAGAACGTGAGGATATGCAGGGCAGTAAGGGTGCCAGACGAGAGAGCCGGACAAGGGAGAGTAGTGGCACTACGAGCGATGACTGTGGCGGGTGAGTCAGCTAGGGAGACTGGAACCGGTGCGGGAAGCGGTGTGAGTGCATTGCGATCTCGGAAGAAGCAGTGGGACGCGCTAGAGTCCAGAGTGAAGGAGAGGGCAGCCTCCGCAAGGGCCGATGAGGACCCTACACTACACAAAGCAGAGGAGCCTAGACTACACACTGCAGTGGCTCCAAGACTACACACTATAATCATCAGAATACCCAGAATACATAGCAGAAGCTATCTGCATCATGTCTAGCTCAAACACCAGAACGCCGCGACGGACAAGAACGGGCTACTCCGGAAGGGCTGCCTGGGGCCCAAACTGACGACGATACAAGTCGTCAAGGCGGCGGTAGCAGCGAGCGGCGGTATGATCCGTGCGCTCGCAGGTCTGTCCGCTCTGACGACCGGACTGGATCTGGTACTCATAGCGCACAGGACCCTCAGGCCCAATACCACCCTGGCCGTCGAAGGAGCCACGCAAGCCCTAGGGCTGCGACTGCCCCGGGGCCCAACCACTAGGGCCCGCATGACGACCGAAGACTCCAATACCCCACTGCGGCTGCTGCCGCTGCTGTTGCGGCTGCAGCTGCCGCGGAGGCTGCTGCTGCTGCTGCGACTGCTGCTGCTCCCCCTCCTGCTCCACACCCGCGCCTCCGCTAGCTCCCGAGGCCTCACCAGCGCCCCGACCTCCTGCCGACGCCCCACGACCACCACGGCGCCCCGAGCGCCTGGCGAAGCGGTCATTCGCAGTGGAAGCCGCAGCGGTCTCAGCGACAGAGGCGGTAGCCCCAGAGACAAGGGCCTGGGACGGAGCTCATCCCTGAAAGATAGGGGCTGCCACCGCGCCAGTGGTCTCAGCGATGGCGCTAAGGCGGGCCTCGACCTCCGTCAGGAAGGTGGAGAAGTGGTCGATGGTGAGGGCATAGGGGTGCAGTGCAAGCAGCGCTTCACGCGCAGGAGCGAGGCGGTCAGGGAGGCGGGTGGTGAGGAAGTACAGGGTGACAGGGGTGGGCAGGGGCAGCACGACAAGCTGGGCCTGGGTGAAGGTCGCACGGAACCGTACCTCGAGATCGCGAAGGTGGGCGACGAGGTCCACGACGGTGGAGGAGGCCATGTCGTGGAAGAGGAACGGGAGGAGGAGGCTGAGGGTGGCGGAGGAGGGGGAGTAGCTGCCGTTGAGGGCCTCCACTAAGCATACAATTTGTCATGAGCATCTGTTAGTCGAGGGAAAGTATGACTGCAATACAAGGCTAAAACAGCCAGGTATATCCGAGCGTTATACGCCCAATAAACTGAACCCTAGCTAGCCTACAAAGTTCACATGTATCCTCCTAACATATATATAGGAATGCCAACATACCTAATTGCATGGAGTCTTGTGCAAATAACATACCTGATTGCATCCCTTCAAATACAGTAACTAGAAATAACATAGTACCTTTGCATGGAGTCTTGTGCAAATCTACCATACCGGTACCCTACCCGACGCCATTAGAAGCCCCTCCAAACGGCAAAGAAAGCATCCAATTGCGAGGGGAGCGAGACAAAGGGGAGGAAGAAGCAGACTGACTCCTACGCTCCCTTCCTTGGCCCGGCTGCCCTGGCTGCCCCAGTTGCACCTGCTGCCCCTGCGCCTGCTTCATTTTCTGCCCTTGCCCCGAACCATAGGCAGCATATGTGTTGGTGGCACGTGCACATGCATTGGTGGGACTGACCGGGGCTAGTGCCTGGGAGGAGCCATGATTGGTGAGAGGAAGAGAGGGAGTGACATGCGGAGACGACGGGGGGAGGGAGCGAGGAGAGGAGGAGGGTGTGAGGTGGGGAGAGTGGGTTGGTGGAGAGGAGGGGGTGAGGTGGGGGGGAGAGCGGGCGGCAGGAGAGGAGGAGGTGCTGTGGCGAGGGGTGCTGCTGCTGCTGTGTGGACGGAGGAAGAGGCAGGACGGCTGCAAGCGGTCCAGGGGAATGTTCACTGAAAGTTCTGCCTCGTCCTCTGAGCTGTCTGTTGGGAGGAGTGAGAGGTGTGAGGGATGTGAGGGGAGGGGAGTGAGGAGAATGGGGTAAATTGCAGATTGGGATAATCATGAATGGGCCGAGAGTGTGAGCGAGAGAGAGAGAGAGAGAGAGAGAGAGAGAGAGAGAGAGAGGAGAGAGAGAGAGAGAGAGAGAGAGAGAGAGAGAGAGAGAGAGAGAGAGAGAGAGAGAGGAGAGAGGAGAGAGAGAGAGAGAGAGGAGAGAGGAGAGAGAGAGAGAGAGAGAGAGAGAGAGAGAGAGAGAGAGAGAGAGAGGGAGAGAGAGAGAGAGAGAGAGAGAGAGAGAGAGAGAGAGAGAGAGAGAGAGAGAGAGAGAGAGAGAGAGAGAGAGAGAGAGAGAGAGAGAGAGAGAGAGAGAGAGAGAGAGAGAGAGATGGGCTGAGCTTTTAAACCAAACGACGCCACAAAAATTACCTTTGACAAAGCCGGTTTTCGAAATTCAACTCATATAGTCCACCCTGGAAGGAGTCTCACAAAAACCAAAGCACCTACCTGCTGCTTCAGCCTCCTGCCTCCCTCTCATCCCCCCTCTCTCCCGCTGCCCCGCCGCTCCCTCCTGCTTCCAACCCCCACCGCCCACCACATCCCCTCCCACCCCCCCCTCTCTCTCACTCGCGAGTGCGTCTCTCAGCTTCTGAAGAGACGCCACCGCTAGGAGCATCCTCTCCTCTGGCGTCTGGGGGCTAAGAGGATTGGGGCTGCGGGGTGTGTGCCCCTCCGACCCTACGTATGTTCGCTGTTTGTCCCTAAACCCCCCCTTTTGCATGCGTGGGGTGCGTGGCGTGTGTCCCTCTGATCCTATGTATGCACGCTGTTTCTCCTCAGGCCCTCTATGCATACGTGCAGTATTTCCTTCTGACCCTATATGGCTGTGTGGGGTATGTTCATGGGAATCTGTCCCACCTCCTACTCCTACTGCTATTGCCGTGGGCTTGTGTGCCTTCCCCCTGTTGGTACTCTTAGTGGGGCTCCTAGTGGCACCCCGTTTGGAGCTCTTGTTAACACGCTGCGTATTGTCCCTTCTGCTCGTCCCAGATTCTGATTGACTGCGGAAAAACAGCCCCACAGCCCCGGATTCTTCCACTCCTGCTGCTGCCGCTCCTACTGCTCTTGATGGTCGTGCGGTGCCTCCTGCTGCTACTCCGGCTTCTGCTGGCTGTGCTGCTGCCAGCAGCGAGAGAGATGACAAGGGGGAGGTGGAGGGGGATGTGGAGGCGGAAAGGGAGGAGGAAGGACGGGGGGAGAGAGACGAGTGGGATGGAGCAGAGGAGGGGAGGAGAGGTCTGGCGGGCGAAAAGGGTTGGGAAATGGACCCCTTTTGGCCTTTTTGGCCCTTTTGGGGGATGTGGAGGTACTCCAGCCGGCCTGACGGTGTCCTGCGGTGGAACAGAGACTCCTGCTCCTCTCCCTGCTGCAACTGCTGCTGCTGCTGCTGCTGCTGCTGCTGTTTTGACTTTTGACTCTGCTGCTTCTTCCTTTGTGCCTCCCTCCCTTCCTTGCGCCTCTCCACACCACAGCCGCCTCCTCTCTCTTCACTACTCACCCCCTCCCCTCTCTGTCTCACACCTCTTTGCCCGTCTCTACTCCCCTCTCTTCTCCGATCCACCCTCCCCTCCCTCCCCTCGCCTCTCCCCTCTTTTACCCCTCCCTCGCTTCCCTGACTCGTCTCTAGGGCTGAAGATTGCTGGCAGGTGCGAGAGTAACGAGAGGCTATACCAGCGGAGGTAACCTGCAACTGCAGCACTTTCCCACTTAACTCCCTTGCACCTTCATTCCCCCCCTTCGGTCCTCCATCCTCTTCCTCCTCCTCCCCTTCCTCATCCTCATTGTCGTCTGGTCCCAGGTGCTTAGGCCAGGCAAGCTTTTGAGTCGGCTCAGAAGTGCCCTCTTCCTCCTCCTTTTCATCCTCGTCTAGTTCCAGGTGCTTAGGCCAGGAAAATTTCTTCCGGCCAGTCTGGGTCTGGTTTGCATGTGAGGAGGAAGCACTGATGATCGCAGATAGAACTACAGGAGCAGGAGAAGGCGAGGCTTCCGCAGCAGCAGCAGCAGCAGCAGCAGCAGCAGCAGCAGCAGCTGAAGCAGCAGTGGTAACAGCAGAAGAAGGAGGAGGAGTCGCAAGAGCAGCAGGTAAAGGCGATGAGAGGGCAAGTGATAGAGAGGAATCTGCTACTACTAACGAGTCCGAATCAAGTCCAACTGCTCCTGAAACGCCAGGTCTGAAGGAAACTGTGCACTTGAGCGGGGCAGCTTGAAGCGAGCCTGCTTGTAGGGGGGACACAGGGGATGTGTCTGTCACATCAGAAGAGAGGACGAACGGGGAGGAGAGGGAGCGGCGCCGAGGGGATGAGGGCGGGTGAGGAATCTTAAAGGGTGTGGCTGCAGTGTTAGCAGTGCCGGCTTGTGAGGGTGATGTCAGATGGGGGTAGGGATGCATGGGAGAGAAGAAGAGAGACGAGGCGGACGGGGAGGAGGGGGAGGAGGAGGAGTGTGCGCGCCGGCGCAGCTGCGGTGACAGCAACGGGCGTGGGGATGCAGGCTGCACGGACAAGGCGTCAGGTGACGCTAACGAGGGCGAGAACAGGAGCTCTGAAGAGGCCAGAGAGGCGTCACCATCTGGAACATCCAGGACCACAGGGGTCAGACACACGGGCATGGAAGTTCGGCAAACCGACAATGGCATGTCCCCTGCTGCTGACCCTGCTGCTGCTGACCCTGCTGCTGCTGACCCTGCTGCTGCTGACACTGCAGCTGCTGACCCTGCTGCTCCTGCTGCTGCTGCTGCTGCTGCTGCTGCTGCTGATGCATTTGAAGGCTCATCCGCATTCCCATCCCCACTCCTGGACTTGGTACTGTCGATAGGGTTCTCGTGCACACCTGCCCTAAACCCGCATTCCCCCTGACATCTCTGCTCCCCTCCGCTCTGACCTTCCCCCAGCTCTTTTCCCTCATGCCCTGCGCCCCTGCTACTCGCAGCAGCGGACCAGCCGTCGGGTCTGGCGGCGCAGCAGCAGGCGCAGGCGGCGGAAAGAGAGCCTCCGCGGTGCGCACACGACCACTCCGCGAACGACGGGTTTCGCTGGTGCGCGGAAGGGGAGGCGGAGGGGGAGGCGGGGACCGCGCGCGGATGAATCGTCCGCGAAGGAGGAGCGGTAGAGGAAGGCATGAAAGCGAGCGGCGAGGATAATGATGATAAAGATGAAAGATGATAATGATGATAAAGTTGATAATGATGATAACGATGATAATGACGACGATGATACAATGGATGCTTCCGTGCGGTAGCCGAGATAGCAGGGATTGCGGAGGTAGGTGTGTCCCCGAGCCGGCTCCGTCCCTGTGTCGCTGCGCGCGTGCAAGCGGAGAGAGAGCGGCGATATGCTGCGGTGCGGACGCCAGCGGTAGAAACAAACGGCTTGAGACCGAGACACAATGGCACCACCACTGCTCTTCACCAGAAGGAATTGTGCTTTCAGGCTGCTGATTAAAGCCCCACTCTCATAATTATAGGAAGTGAGCAAGTGTTAAATGTTTGGTACCCAGTTACGCTGGCGAATTTGAAGCGACAGGCTTGGAAATGCCTCGGACAGTGTGCTGTGCCTGGGGGGGGATACCAACCGTAAAACCAGTTCAGCAAAATGAGAATCCGCAAGTTTACGGAAGAACGGTCCTGCTGCATCGTTAGATCATCGAGAGCCTTTGATCTGACGGTTGAGTGACTGGACGTTTGAATCGACGGCTATAAACGAAGTAGAAAGTTGTTGCGCAAAAAATTGGAGTTTGCACCGTCCGATGTGCTAAACCTGACGCGTCCCAAACTTCCCCAAACCTGTTTCTTGGTTTGGAGTTTTTTGTCGGAACAAAACGGCCTCGCCACGTGATTTTCGTTTTCGTAGTTTTGTTTACACCTCGCGTACCAATCAGTGCCTGTCTGTCTCAACCAAGTGTTAAACTCTGGTAATTATGAGATGGGGGCTTTAAAGCCCGAGTCCAGAATGGTAAAAAAACATGACTACTGGGCATGAAAACAGTGTTCTCATTAATAATGAAGAGAGTTACAAGTCATATAGCAAGGCCGAAGATGAGATATCCGGCATGAGCGTTGCGCTATTATGACATAGTAGCGTTAAGAGGTATAGAAGAGAAGAATAAGAGAGAGAGAATAGAGAGAGAAGGAAAGAGAGAGGAGGTAGTGGAAGGAAGAAGGTAGCAGAAAGAGTGGGGGAGAAGAGAGCGAGAAAGAGGAGAGAAAGAGGAGAGGGGAAGGAGGGAGGGGGGTGTGACTATATCAGAGGGACATCATGGGACCTAACAAAGCAACAGCCCACGCGCACAGCGCGGGCACAGCGTCTCAAGCACGGCCTATATATGTTTTTTTTTTTTTTTTTTTTTTTTTTCTATACATACGCATCATACATATACTGCATATCTGCTGCACTCTCGAAGCACCCTGTGATGTGGTGCCAGCTCCCCTGCCTAGCACCCAAAGGTACAAGTGCTGGCATCCATCCATTGTCGGAGCCACCCAGCTGCCGCACTGCATGATGCATGATCACATTTGTCTGCGCCCGCTGTAGTGCCACGGAGAGACGCGTAGTGAGGCTCGTCTCAAATATCTGCGCTGACCCGTCATCCCCTGCCCCTGAATCCCTCCTCCGCCGTGCTGTCCGCGACGCACACAGCCCTAGGAACTGCCGCAGTGGCTCACTCAGGCACTCAAAAGTCTCCACTACACAGGCATAGAATTCTGGATCCGGCTGCAACCCCTGTAACACCGGCCTCCAGTGTCGCAGCTTGTTCTGCACCCGCCTAGCCGCTGCGCCGCCAATCTGAGTGGGTGCCATCCGTCTGAACTGCGCATTCCCTTCCCGCTGTGGGTCTTTCACCGAGACGTCTACAATCACCATCAATGCATCTCGCGGAGCACTGCAAGTGAGGTATGGAATGCGCGTGGGTGCCCCTAAGCGGCCTGTGTGAGCGGTTGGCCTCTGCTGCTGCACGTGCTGCTACTTTGTCTGGTCCCCTGATGTCCCCCCTCTGGTCGTCGTGGTCCCCCTCCCAGCCCCCCCTCTCACCCTCCCTCTCCTCCTTCCCGCTCTCCCCTCCCCCACTCCCCTTGCCACCCCCGCCCCTTTCGCCACCTCCTCCCTCTCCCCTGCCCCAACTCCCCCCACGCCCTCCACCTCTCCTGTACCCCCGTCTGCTACCGACCCCTCTCACCCCCCCTCGCCTGTCCTCCCCTCTGCGTGAGCCTCTTCCAACGCCTCACGCGCAAAGTGCACCCGTCTCGGCGGTGCCCTGCCCAAGAGCCCGGCCCCTGTCCCCTGCTGCGGCCCGGCATGCGCCCCCTGCTGCGGCCCCGCCTGAGCTCCCTGCAGCCGCTGTACCTGCCCCTCTCCCCCCGTGCGCTGCTGCTGCCCCCCTCCGCTACCCTGCCGCTGCTGCTGCCAGTCCTCCTCCCGCCGGCTCTCCCCCGTGCCCTGCTGCTGCTGCAGCTACTCCTCCCTGCCGGGCTGCAGCTGAAGCCCCTCTAGCCCTTCCTCCGCCCCCTGCCTCTCTCCCTCCCGACCCGCCTACCTCTCCCCCCCCTCCTGGTCCCGCCACTGCTGCCGTCCTGTCTGTCCTGCCCGCTCCTGCCCCAGCCCCTCCCCCTCATGCAAACCCTGCAGTCAAGCTCACGCTGCCTCCAGGTGCGGAATGAGCGCCGTGTCCTCCACCTGGACAGCGAAGCCGGCCTCGTCCATGAAGTCACGAAGCATGTACTTCACTGTGTTGTGGATGGTCGTGGCGACTGCGAAGCGTGCGCACCTCACCGCGTGATGCGGCACTGACATGTCGGCGATCTCCTCTCCGCACGAGCACTGACCTGCCAGGACTAACTGGGGAATGGGGAGACTGAGACGAAAGCATGAAGCCACCTGCCACTGCGCCTCCGGAATGCGCAGGGAGTTCGCGTAGGGTACCGCCGTAAGCCAAGCTCCCGCACCTGGACCCTGAAGGGATGTCAAACGGGCAAGATGCAGAGGATCAGTATGACGGGCACGTACCGAATCCAAAGCGTGCACCTCGATGTGTTTGCTGGCCTCTCTGAAAAGGCCGTCCGGTGCTCCTGTCGCGCAAGTAGGCCAGGCTGGCATGAGGTGTTGGACGTCCGTCGGCAGGGCCTCTTGAGCCATCATGATGTGCCGATCGATCTGGGCGGGCTCACCTGATGCGAAGCACTGACGGAAGCCCTCCCCCACCGACGGCAGCGAGCAGAGAATCGGTGCGCACTGCGCCCACAAACAGAGATAACTCACCGGTGCGATGCGCTCCATGCATCGGATGCCGAAGCCCCCGATGCGAATCGGAAGAAATGCTTGCTCCAGGGCTGCCTCGCAGATCGCGTCCCTCTCCCTCCACGTACCTCGCACCAGGAGCTGCTGGAAGGTCTCTCCCAAGCGCGCGTCCCATACTGCAAAGATGGCACGTACCTCTAGTGATGGGGGGACTGTCCGTGCCAAGTACTGCGGACGTGTGCTGACACACGCGGAGAGGTGTGGCGCGGCTGTCTGTGGCTGCCGCAGCCTCAGGAGCCACGGCAGCACCCCAGCTATCCTCTCCACTCGGTCGCGTAGGCTGGTCCTTGCAAAGGTATCGGTGCCGACCGGAACGCCCGTCACGGTGAGCCCCCGGCGTGCGACCTCGATGCCAAGACCAGCAAAAGCCTGCACCTCGCTGGGCAGGATCGCCGACGTGTGATGAACAAGGCACTTGTGCGGCTGGACAGCAAGGCCCAACTCGCCCAAGCGCCTCACGACCTCAGTGAAGTGGTGCAGCACCCTGTCTGGAGGGCCCACTAGGTAGGTGTCGTCGGCGTGCGACCAGAGCTGGACGTCACCCCCTACCAAGACGGCCTCCAGGGCAAGGCGCTGCGTGAGAGCGTAGAGAAACGAGCTCAGCGGGTCTCCCTGCCGAGTGCCGCGCTCTGAGTGCATCGTGGTGACTCCCCTGCTGGACCAATAGAGCAAATCGAACGGCGTGCCGTAGAAGAGACGGATGAATGGGATGAGACATCTGAACTCAAGGCTGGCATGCAGTGCCTGGAATAGGATGTCGCGAAAGAAAGAATTAAAGGTGTTGGCCACGTCTAGCTGCAGAATCACCCAGCCTGGGTGGTCGGCTAGAGCGCGGACGACGCCTCTAACGGTGACCTCTGTGCCACACGTGACTCCGACTCCGAAGTGCTTTGACGCGAGGAACACTCTCGCCATCTGGTCGCGGAGCTGAAGGCAGACAGCATGGGAGAGGACGCGCACAAGCACCTCTCCAATGGCGATCGGCCGCACGCCCCCGTTTGGCTTCGCGAGAGCCACAAGGGTGGACGAGGCCAAAAGAGAACGCGCAGCTGATGGGCAGCGTCCTCCGAGCCAGAGCTGGTATACCGAAAGCAAGGAGGGTAGGGTCTGTGGGAACGCCAAGAAGGTATCGCGGAGGTGTTCCACAACCCATCCGGTCGGTCCCCCTGACGAGCCCCGCGGTGCAGTGAAAATGGCCTGGCGCAAGTGGGTGGCAGAGATCACAAGGCCGCCCTCGTGGAAGGTGGAGAGCCACTCCGGTAGACGGCGCTTCGCACTAGGGTGCTTAGCCCGTAGGCTATGCATCGTGCGATCCATGTCTGGAGCCGCCGCGGCCGATTTCAGTGCCGCGCACGCACGAGATGTCTCGTTGCACGCTGCCAAGTGCAGGCAACGCACAATCCGATGCTCGTCTCCCGACGTGGCGGTGCCGGGGGTGCGACGTGATGTGCGGGTGGGCAGGGGCGTGTGACGACGCAGTGCGTCAGAGATGAGAGAGTCCTACTCACCTCGGAAGAAACGTGCGGCGTGGGCCGTGATGGAAGCTGTGTGGCCCCGCTCTGGTGGAGTGGACGGCGCTAAGAACAGCGTCGGCACCGCCGTGAACAAGAAGTGGGGGCCGTCGGCGTCCGGATACTGCTCCATACGGGCGGTGATCGCACGGATGACATCAGAGATGCCTCCGCGGACCCTCGGTGGAATGCGCCGGAGTGGGCGAGCATGCATCCAGGATGGAGAGAAATACTCCCTCCAATCCACAGAGTCCAGCTGTGCCCATTGTTCGTCGGAAAAGATGGGGACAGAGGAATCCGGACGTGAGAGTGACCTGCCGACAGAGGCGGCCTCCTGGCAGGCCTGCACCCGGCGTGCCTCATCGCTCGGGGTGCAGTGGGGTGTGTGGTGTCGGAGAGCTCTACCGTCCGCCATGAGGTTGAGGTGTGAGAGTACGACTCCGTTACACCACTTGGCCTTTTCCATATTTCATCTTCATTTCATTCCTCTTTTTATCTCATCTCCTTTTGCCTCATATTCCCCATTTTCCATTATCCTTTGGTTTCTTCCCTTATTATAATTATATCACCGACCAAGCATGGAATGTTCTAGACACGCTATCT